CGCAACTAATTGCTTTGATTCGTTTTCGTGACATGTTGACCGGTAACTTCACGCATTCTTGGGAATTCAGCAATCTCATATTTTGGATGACATGTCTCCCATCTGGAAACCCAAATCCGTCCGCCACCCGAGTCGGCGTTTGTTTACTTGTAAGCTCATTAAATAGATAGTCTATGAGAACGTGGAGTATGTACCGAAAATTGCATTCCAAAAATTACGGTTACCATATTGACCAACTATTAAAAAGAACCTTCTCGGATCCAGACTCCAATACCTGCTCTGAAGGCTACTCTTTCCCCACTTGTAACTTCGAGTAACCTTTTCTGCCAATCTTCGAAGGCCGGCAGTACGGTGCTCGAACCACTGCACCGTTTCCAGCCTGCGATATATCCCTCGTTGGAGCCAACAGGAGGGGGGCAGTCTAATTCAGTATTTTGCCGTCAGGTTAAATTGTAATGCTCACCAGATTTTTAGCCAGTATTATGCTTGCCGATTTTTCGAACTTATGTCCCGTTGGATTAATCTTGTTAAGATTGGGACAGTCGAAACATTTGAAGGTTTCAACAAGCGTCTTATTGTAAGCCTTCGTATACTTATTGGCTTCTGGTGGATTTCCAAGTTCTATTAATGTTGCTATTTATTGAGATATAAAACTTTCGCCACTAGCACCTTTTTTAGGATCAACTTCTATTTTCTGAATGTGTGAAAAAAATTATCGAGTTTTGCAATGCATTTCTACACAAGGTACCTAGGGCTTTGCAATACATACTACGAAGGCATATTGTCCCTTTTTTCTTTAATTTATAGTCTGTTTACCCTGATGGTTTTGACTTCCCGACTGCCTTAAGTTCGCCCCAAGGCAATGCCCAGTAACAGGGTGCGTACGCGCAAGAACGCTGCGTCCGATGTAAATAGTGACCTTAAAGGAGCAAAATATATCCTGAAGGATGGCGAACTCGTGCCGTCAGGAGATGAGCACTCTGATGGCCCCGCTGATAATGATGACGATGAGATGCAACTAGCTGAAATTCAAGACGCCAATCAGCCGCACCGCAACAAACGGAAGCAAACATTCGAGAGACGAAATATAAAGTAGGTGTGCC